CCTATGAAATCACAGAAAGAGTCGGGAACCTGGCCTACCGCCTCGCCCTACCCATCAAACTAGAACGGGTACACAACGTGTTCCACATATCCTAACTAAAGAAATATATACACGATCCAAGCCACGTGCTACAACCCGAGACCGTGGACCTTGACGACGCACTAGCTTATGAAGAGAAACCCGTAAGAATCCTGGACACCAAGACAAGAACCACCCGCCAGCGAGCCATAGAGGTGGTAAAAGTCCTCTGGACCAACCATGGGGCCGAAGAAGCAACATAGGAACTCAAAGACACAATGAAGGAACGCTACCACGAACTCTTCACACAAGGTAACCAAGACGAAAGCATAGGATAAGGGAAAAAGTCACTCAGCAAGGACCCAAGCTTCGGGGACGAAGCTTCCCGTTAAGGGGGGGAGAGTGTAACACCCCGTGTTACGGTCCATAAACCAATTAATTATTTACCCGGAAAGAGGGATTAAATCTCATTAATTAATTAAGAAAGGTCCACCATGGTCCATGGGCCCTCATCCCTAAAACCAATCCCCTAGTCCTATAGGAAATAGAATTAGCAAACCCATACCAGTTAGACCCTAATTAGGACTCTTAAATATATAAATAGGGGGCCTAGGAGGCACTTAGAACCGACACCACAATAATCTCTCACCACACAAGAAGTTCCAAGAATTCCCCTAGGAGAAATCAAGAAAGAAGGAATCTTAAAGAAAGACCCTTCATAGCCAAAGAAATTAATTAAGGCTAAGAGGTAACCCATGTCTTAACAAAACCTATTTTCTTTGCTATAATCTCCTTCTTTGGCTTCTTCTCTATACTCGTGTCTTGATAAATCATTTGTGATATTGATGATATGATCTTGATGATTGATGAGATGAATTTATGTGTGATCTTGACGATCTTGATGATGATAAGAAGTTCTTGATGATTATGTGATGTTCTTGATAAATCTTGATGTTAAAAGATGAACTATGATTTTGATGATTTAAATATGATTAGAGCCCTAGGATGGATCGTGAAATTCATATTGTGGTATTCTTGATTTATTTGGGGTGGAAATTCGCGTGCTCGGGTGTTAATTATGCTTAGGAGTCATGATAGGATATGTGCTATATGATTCTTGCTTTTGATCCGTTAATTGTCTACGTGGTGTCATCAATTGCGTTTAAAAGTGTCTAAGCATGGTTTCGGGTTTCATAAAGGATCCCGGGACGGGTATTTTGATAAAGAGTCAGTGGGGGTAGGGGAACCCGCCACCTACCCGCTGCCGACAGTAACGCCGCCGGCAGCGGGCAGACGACTGCCCGCCTGGCACCCGTTCCCGGAGGTTTGTCTCCGGCGGGCAGCCGGCGGGTGGTCCCCAACCCACCGGCTACCCGCTGGAAATTTCCCAACTTGGGACTTCGGCTTCCCTGTTTGATGTTTCCCCAACCCTCATGGTGTCCCAACGAACTCCATTTATCGTGCCTAAGTCTAGTTTAATGTTTCGGGTACCGTTCGTAGGATAAATGAGTCTTATATATTGCATGCTAGTTGAATTGGTATCCCGTTGGCCTAGGTGAAAGAAGTATGAACCCCTTAGGACTATTCCTAGTTTGTGGATGACCACGCATAGGTTTCTTTATACGTTTTCTCCCCTTTCCCAATGTGTTAATATGAGTTGCATGTGCTTGCTATGTGTTATGTGTGCATGATACCCCAATTTGGTTGCGATCAAATTGGTTATTCCTGAGCTGCGGTTCAGAAGCTGGCTGTGGTCAGAATTACACACTCGGGCTGCGGTCCACCGTTTGGTTGCGATCAAACGTTTTACATGAGCTACGGTTCATATTCCTGGCTACGATCCACTGTTTGGTTGCGATCAAACATTATGATGAGCTGCGATTCATCGGTCGGTTGCGATCGACCCCTTCGTGTTGCGATACGAGGCAGGGTGCTGCGGGGCCGTGTCAGAGCTATATGCGCTGACCCTCATGTATGGGCATGCGATTGGTCCTGTGGCGCAAACAAAGTGTGCTTGTGTGATGAGTTGAATGATGATATAAATGAGATGAAGTGAATTCGTGACCATAGGATATATGCTAGTATCTTTACATGCTTGGTTACAACTGTTGAATGTGCCTATCCCATAGGATATATGCTAGTATCTTTACATGCTCGGTTATAACTGTTGAATGTGTTTGTCCCTATTTGTCGAGTCTATTCCGGTTTTGAAACTAGAGTTTCCTAGGATATATCTTCCTGCTTCAAAATGACTTTTATTATTATTATTATTATTATTATTATTATTATTATTATTATTATTATTATTATATATATATATATATATATATATATATATATATATATATATATATATATATATATATATATATATATATATATATATATATATATATATATATACTTATACGGTATTTCAACGCGTTAGAGTGGGTTACCAGCATTATTCGCTGAACAGATATATTTGGCTTTCAGGCACAGACGATTAGCTTCGGAGCGCGCTAGAGGACCTAAGACTTAGATAGATAGTTTCATCTTCGGCCTACGTGCCATAATGATGTAATGATGTTGTTAGATAGTTTAGCCTGTGCATCTGAGTTCTCTAGCTCAGATGTGGCATAACACCCCGTATTCTTATGTTTAGTACTGCTATGTTTGGGATTTAATGAGAATTTACCTTTATTATATAAGTTTTAAAAGTTTCAAAAATCTGGGGTGTTACAGATACAATCATAAGGTGAAAAGTCTTCTTTACCCTTACTAAAGTGGAAAAGTGTAAGGAGACAAGGGAACAATTCATGAAGCATAGGGTATAACCCATTGACTTGGATTGACTAGTCAATTACTAGTCCTCCGACTATTGAATTTTCAGGATTTTAGAAATAAATAAATTACCAATTAAGCTAGGATTAATTATCTAATTAATCCTTAAATAGAATTAGATTTATTGGGTGTCACATCCTCTCCCCCTTAAAAGAAGCTTCGTCCCTGAAGCTTGGGTACGACGAATTCAAACAAAACGGCAACACGAAACAACAATATGACAAGAGAATCAAGAACATCTTTTTGACTCAAAACTTCAAGATTTCAAAAAGATACAAAAATGGTCAAGAAGGCATAACATTGCAAGGGTGACCACGCGCTCCTCGTGTGTCATGGCGTCGTGTTCCCTCTTGGTTCTGGCTTCTCTCCTTCTCCGGTTCTCTTCACTCTCCGAGTCACTCTCCTCAACTTCTGCAACTTCTCAACAACCGCATCCTCCTCTTGATCTTCTTCTTCATCATCCCCCGCATCACCTCCCAAACTTTGAACCGCGAGGTTCAACTTCCCAACGGGGATCTCGAGCTCAGCAACCAACGCATCTCTCTCAACGGGGGTTTTCCTGGCAACTTCCTCAAGCGTGATGTACTCTCCGTCATCCAACTGAAACAGGTTGCAACTCCGCAAGTTGGTGGCATCCAACACCATTTTGCCCACTGGCTTCGGCACACAACCTTCAACACTTACACCTTTCCTGGCAAAGATCCAACTCAAAACCATCCCATACGGTAGACTCTTCCGGTTATGATCCCAACAAAAGACCATGTGTTGCAACATAAAGGCAGGCAGGTTAAACTTCACCATATTCTTCTAACAGAAGGCAAAAGTGCACTCTAACTTCCCCAACGAACGGCTTTTGTTGTTATTGGGCAACAGACAGTCTGATACAAGCATAACCAAGATTCTCTGCTCAGCAGTCAACCATTTCTTTTCTGGTCTCGTGGCTTGGGTGAAACCACTAGTCCGACCCAACAGATAACTCAAATAATCTCGGTACGCCATGGTATCCGTCTCAATCCAGGAGTTACCACTGTATTGTGAAACTCCCGTAGTGGTCAGACTTAAGAGTTGAGCCAGTCTCTTCTCATATAAAACAACCTTCACACCCCTCACTTTAGAGGTAACTTCTAACTTTCCACCATCTTTAGTCACAACCATGTGACGGTAAAACTCCTTAACCAAACTCGGGTATGTCTCAACCCTTATGGTGAGAAACTCATCCAACAAACCTTGATATCTCAACATCTCTAACAAGGAACTTGAAAAAGAATCTGGGTCAAAGGCTTTACCTTCCAACACAAGATAGTGGGCATCCACCCATTCCACTCTCCTTGTCAAGTTTGTCCTCCTAGGCATGGTTGTAAGATGACCCAAAGACTCAAAGGGAAGCCCCAAAGTTTTTTCCTCTTTCTTCTCCTTCTCTTCTTTCTCTCTTGGCTTCTCGGCGGTCGGACAACAGCTCTCGACGGCCGCGGCTTCGGGCGGCGACAATGGCGGCAGGTGGCATCGGCAGTACTTCGATGGCAACGGGCAGGCAGCGACGAGAGGGGGGTTGTTCTTCTCGGCTGACTCACAGGTAGGGAAGAAGAAAAGGGGTGAAGGGTTTAGGGAATTTGGGGAGAAATTAGAAAAGAGAAGGTTTTAATTTGGGGATTTTTGGGTATAATGAACAATTATGGGTTAAATGAAATTTAGATGAACTAAGGTTTCAAGAAATATAATTAGTTTAAGTGGTTTAAAGGTTAGGTTGGTAACTTGCACACTTGGGTTCAAAACTTGTTGGTTATAAATTAAAATTTCCTCGGTTTTTTAGGCTATACAAGAAGGGATTTTTTATTTTTTATTTTTGTAGGATTTTTGCCTAAAATAAATTCAAGGATACTCAACTAAACTTAGATGACTCACTAGAAAGGTTGGGTTAGAAGAGCATATAAACAAGGCTACGGGATTAACACAAGCATTACCCAATCTAAGAATAAACAATTAACTTGACGAAAGACTCTCACTTAAAACCAAAAATATCACACAACAATGAAGCGAGGCAACACGAAAAAGCAACAAGGAAAAAGATACACTCTCAAGATAAGGATAGGCTTAGGAAAAAGGGTTACCTGCCATCTCGTCCTCAACCAACCCCTCCGTCTCAGCCTGGTTTCGTCCCATCACAAACACACGACCCGAAGGTCTAGCTCCAGTTGCTCCTCGGCTTGAAATCCCTCCCGATGCTCCCCGGGTCCCGAACTAGGTGGCGACGCCCTTTGATTAACTTGCTGAGGGCACGTAGCAACCTTGTGTCCACTCTCCCCACAATGGAAACAACGGAGTGCATGACCACTGCAATCCTTTCCTACGTGCTCTCCTCCACACCTTCGGCATGCAAACGTCTTGGCTTGGCTTCCGGACTCCACCCGGGTTGGTCCTTGAGGTGGGGATGGTGCGATCTTGGCTCGGAAATCCTGTCTTGGCTTCTTGTAGTTGAAAGATCCTCCACTCTCGTTCCTCTTTCTAGCGAGCTCAAAAGATCCGCGTTGCAACTTTTGCACCCGATATAAGTCCGTAGCACTCAAGTAAGCCTCTTTCAAAGTCCTCGGCTTGCTCACGGTTAAAGCCTTGCGAGCCTCGTAGTTGAGTCCGGCTACAAACTTCTCAACCTTCGCGAGCTCGGTGGGGACAAACATCCTAGCAAAACGAGCGAGCTCCAGAAACCTCTTGTGGTACTCAACCACCGACGAAGAACCCTGTTGGAGGTGCAGAAACTCCTCATACATAGCAGCTCGAACATGTGCCGGGTAGAACCGCTCTCGCATCCGATCCTTAAAAGCCGTCCAGTCGAAGTCGGGCTCCTCAAGACAAACGGGTCCCTCATGCACCCACCACAATTCAGCTTCATGACTGAAGTAGAATGATGCTAGCTCCACTCGGCGCTCTTCAAGGCACCCAACGACTGAGAAGATCTTGTCAAAGGTTTGCACCCACTCCTCGAGCACGACAGGGTCTTCCTCACCGGCAAACGTCGGTGATCTATGGCCCAATACAAGGCGTCCAACATCTCTATGCCCGGCAGGCTGTGGTGGCGGAGCAGGATGATTGTTGTGCAACAGCGCTTCGCTGAGGGTCTGCATGGTCTGCGTGAGGTGTTGCAGATTCTGGGCTAGCTGTTCATTCATTGGAGTCTCCAGTGTGCGAGCACGTTGACGAGGAGGTGCCATAGCAAAGCTTCTACAACAACAACACCGTTACAAAACAAAACAACAAGTAAGCAAGCAAACTATAGACAACACACAGCTCACCGCGCATCCTAAGAGTCCTGAGTCCTAAGCACTTAGATACTTAAGGTCGCCTAGGGTCTCAAAACCACACTTAACTTCTTAAAAGTCTGGACTCTAGCATCCTAGGCTCAGACCTAAGCTCTGATACCAACTGTAACACCCCTGATTTTCATGCCAATTTAAAGCTTAAATATGCAAGGCAAACTAACCAATATATAACATAAAACATAAACACACCGGAAGTCTAATATAAAACCGGGAAAGCCAAGGAGTGTTATGCCACGTTCACCCCAACGTGAACGCACAGGCAAAGTCTAAAACCATCCATCTAGTATGTTCAACATCTGTGGCACACAGGCCAAAACACTATCTATACTGTTCAGGGGATCTAAACTATCCACGGCTAACGCTCTCGCCATCTACTCAGGACCTGAAAAGCATATAAAGAAAGGGGACGACGCTCGGCCAGCGAATATTGCTGGTAACCCATCAATACGCGTTCAATAGCATATATATAGATAGTTTAATACAAAATCATTTTCGAAACGGAATACAGTATATATCAGTTCAAAAGTCAATAAGAGAAGTCAACTTGAAAAGACTCTATTTCACTCTCACAAAGGACAAGGGAATCAATATTCCAAGACAATATCAAGAAAAGAACAACAATAACACAAGCACAACTCGAGGTGTATTCTACTGATCACAAAGTAGAATACCACCCAACATGCTCATAAGAAAAGGATAGACAATCACACATTAGCAACACATGCCACCGTGACACTACATGTCACATGTTACAAATACCACGTTCCATCCTTATGCACAGTTCCAACATTATGACTACCCCCGACCTTATAACTAGTTCCAACCTTTACCTCCAGGACCCATGTACTTCTGAGTCCAACCTTATTCATCTGGGAACTGTTATTCCCCCACCAACAACCACCAACATTTCCACCAACACATAGTACACGAGGGTACCGTTCATTTCAATCACACAACCACCAACAAGTGAGCCTGAAGCCCATGAGCCTGAAGCCCATAAAACAACTCCATAAAATCATTTCATGGCCACGACGAGGACCACATCTGTACCTTGGTGATTAATGTCCCATACCATTAATCGTGCAATCCAGGTACAACCAACACACACATCATCAGAGGAATCAATCAATGGATCACAACAAAGATATGAAACCATACTCAATCAAGGAAGCATTACAATCCGACAACAACGATGATCAACACAAGTTATCATCCACAATAGGAAAGAACAAACCACACACGCTAGCATTTCAACATCAAACTAGCATGCTTATCAAACGGGTAAACCAAACATAGTTCCGAAGAACGTACAAGACTCATCATGCTTCAACGAATCACAAGGTTGAACACTTAGCACGATTCAAGACACCAAATCCTACATGGATTCCTACCCTATCGTTCTAGACATACGAAACATCAAGAATACACTCAAATAGCCTAACAAAAGAACATCGGGAAGTCAAAACATCAATTACCGAGTCAAAAGAATCACGGGGAACAAATCCCCGACAACCAACATCATTGTACCCCGCTGGTGGGGCCACGGGTGGACCCCCACCCGTAGTTCCGCCCGCGGGAACCAAAGCCCAAACCACTTGTACCCTGCGGGTGGGGCGGCGGGTGGTGCACTACCCGCCGTTCCGCCCGCGGGTACACCTCTGTACCACAATTAATCCCTTCGGGGATTTTCAACACCAAGTCCAAATTCAAGTCCAAAACACCCAAAATCTCACAAAATATAACAATATGACTTGAATCAAAGAAATAGCCAAGCAATGGCATACAAGAAACCTAATAACAAGCTCTAGATATGCATTCTCACAAGACAATGCATCAAAACTCACATTTCATAGCAAAAATCACATGTAGAAGTCAAGAAATTATCATATAGGTAAGAAAATAGATTTTGTAAAGCATGTGTTACCTCTTGTAGCATAAACCTTCACTTATCACACCCTTACAAGCTTCTAACAAGGCTCTCTTTCAACCCTAACTTCAAGAACACACCAAAAGGCAACAAAGATTTCATCTTTCGAAAAGACACCTTAAAAGGTACTAAAAACACTAAAGGACCAAGGATCTTACCCTCTTATATGCTCAAGGTTAAGAAAGGTTGAATCTTGGAGACCAACTTGAAGAATCTTAAATTGCCCAAACTTGGCTTGAAGAAGAAGCTAGCTATTTTCTAGAGAGAAGGCGGAACTTTTCTTTTTAGGGTGTTAGGGAAAAGAATGAAAGATGACTCTAGATTAGCTTGGGATACAATCATAAGGTGAAAAGTCTTCTTTACCCTTACTAAAGTGGAAAAGTGTAAGGAGACAAGGGAACAATTCATGAAGCATAGGGTACAACCCATTGACTTGGATTGACTAGTCAATTACTAGTCCTCCGACTATTGAATTTTCAGGATTTTAGAAATAAATTACCAATTAAGCTAGGATTAATTATATAATTAATCCTTAAATAGAATTTGGATTTACGGGGTGTCACACACACACTTGGTCTTTCTTGAAGATAATGTATGGTAAGCCTTCAACTAAATTCTTCTTCGCAAGTTGATTGATAGTCTTGAAGTTTAAGTGGTTGAGCTTTCTGTGCCATTCCCAATTAGCTTCATTCGAATTTCTCGCCATTAAGCACACTGAATCTTTGCTTGTACTCCAATCAACAACATACATGTTCTTTCGCCTTTTTCCAGTGAGTATAACTTCATTTGTGAGCTCATTTTTTATTAGGCAATTATCTTTAGAAAATTCCACAAGATAGCCTTTATCACAAAATTGACTAGTGCTCAACAAATTGAATTTCAAGCCTTCTACGAATGAAACATCTTCAATCTTTAAGCCATTTTTCTTGATTGTGCCAACTCCTTTTGTAATTCCATAATTTTGATTTCCTCCGAATATAACTTTTGGTCCATCGATTTCTTTGAAATTCACTAGATATGATTTATTCTAGTCATGTGGCGTGAGCAAACACTATCGATGTACCAAACATCCTCTTCTTCCTCTGCTCCGAGTGCCATAAAGCAATCTTCACTTGAACTCAACTCAATTGATTTGCATACTAGAGCCATGTCATCTTCCGAACTTGAACTTTCATCGCTTGATGACAATCCATCCGACTCATCATTTACGTTTGGTTCATTGCTAACGAGAGCTTTTCTTTTGTCGCGCTTGAACCTTTTGCTTTCGGATTTGTTCGACGTAGGTTCAACATTTTTGCCTTGATACTTGCTAACAATCGGATATGGACAATTTATTTTAAAATGTCAGGGTTTGCGGAAATTGTAGCATAATCCTTGTTTTCTTCGACTTTTCTTCTTGTGTCATGCGAGAGACGAATTTTCCACGTGCAGAATTTTTGTTGTCTCCTTTTCGGCATAAACCTTTTGAATCTTTTACCAAAAAGAGCAAACTGTTCGTCCGTCATAAAATCAACATTATTTTCTACTGACCTGGAGGTTGACGGTTGTTCGGCCATTAGAGCAGAATTTCGAGCTTCATGAACATTATCATCTTTGGCCTTCATTTCGAACTCATATGTTTTTAGATCACTAAATAATTTTTCTGTTGCCAACATTCTTAGATCTTGGTGATCGCGCATAGCCATAACCTTCATATTCCATGCAGATGGTAAGCCTCGTAGGATTTTGAGATTAATTTCTTTTTGGCTAATATTTTTTCCAAGATCAATAATCTCTCCAAGAACTTTGATCATTCGAGCTTGCATGTCTGTAACACTTTCATTTGAGAGCATTTTGAATTCTTCAAATTTTTTCATGGCGATTGTGAGCTTATTGTCTTTCTCTTGTTCATCTCCTTTGCCAATCTTGATGAGAGTTTCCCATATTTCTTTAGCAGTAGCACACTTTCAGATCTTTGAAATATTGTATCATCTACGGCTTTGAATAGAATATCCTTGGCAATATTGTCAAGATTATTCCGTGTTCTATCATCCGATGTCCATTCCGGTTTTGGCTTTTGTACGTACTCTGAATGTAACTACTGATCCAACCTACTACTCACAGGCTGTAGGGCATCCACAGTGGTGTGATGCTATGGACCAGGAATTCAACGCCCATTTACACAACGACACTTGGAAGTTTGTACCGGCTGAGCCACACATGAATGTGGTTGGTTGCAAGTGGGTGTTCCGCACCAAACGGAATGCTGATGGCTTTATAGAGCGGTACAAGGCTCGTCTTGTTGCAAAGGGATTCAATCAAGTTGCAGGCGAAGATTTCTTCGACACTTTTAGTCCTGTGGTCAAGCCGACCACCGTCCGCCTCCTATTCTCTCTAGCTGTGTCACACAACTGGACATTGCGCCAGCTGGACGTACACAATGCTTCCTTAATAGGCATTTAGCTGAGACGTTGTACATGAAACAATCACCGGGGTATGAAGATCCCACACACCCAGATCACGTGTGTCATCTTGATGAGAGTTTCCCATATTTCTTTAGCAGTAGCACACTTTCAGATCTTTGGAAATATTGTATCATCTACGACTTTGAATAGAATATCCTTGGCAATATTGTCAAGATTATTTCGTGTTCTATCATCTGATGTCCATTCCGGTTTTGGCTTTTGTACGTACTGTGGAGCATCGGGGGATAGGACAAAACCGTATTGACTTTTAATATTTTGATAGGGCTAGTGGAAATTACTTCCCACATTTCATCGTGTAAAGCCGATAAGTGTACCTGCATACGAACTTTCCAATCATCAAATTTATCAAGTGAGAATAATAGATTTTGAGCTAAATCTTTCTTCATCATCATCACGAGAGATATGAAAGATTAATCCAATCACACACTTTGTAGAATGGATCTGCCTAGCAGTCAGAAATAGGTTGACCCAAATAGGCAACGCGCTCTGATACCAATTGT